TTTTGGTAGCACGGGGATGGGTGTCAGAACAGTATAAGAAAAGAGAAAATGTAGCTAAAACAATTGATTCAAGTTGAAGTTGATTAATTGCTTAGTTGATTGGTGGAAAATGAATCAGCAACAATTTTGCTAATGGACTAATTGATTATCAAGCAACAAGACTACGAGTCTACAGCCATGCTCATGGCTCTCTAACGTCCTAATATGCTCACAAGGACAATGCTAACATGTTGATATTAACCAGGTATAGTGTTTACCATGTTGATTATCTTAGTTTTTGATAGCATGCTAATATCTGCTAATAAGCACTGCACACAAAGCACAGATTAGGCTGATAGGAATGGCATCAGTTTTACAGATATTTTGTCATGATAAGTGAAAACTGTGGCCAGCATGTAGTGCTACAGGAAAAGTCAGGTGATCTCCAAAGTTAGTACACTTCATCATCTGAGCAGCATGAATGTCTTGGCCATCCATATAATAGTTGTTGAGCTATTTTGGACTAACACTTTGGTCAAGACTGAAATATGCATGGTTTAGGAATGCCAGTACATGCTGCTCGCATGGCTGAACAAAAAACATTTGATACATTCTCTGGTTCCAGCTTCTCAGTTGGTGAGTATTTGCTGTTTTTCCCTCTTTTATATCATGATGGGATTTTGACTGGTGGTCAACAAATGAGACTTCCTAAGTCGTTGCCTTTGGCTGTGGAAGACTGTAAGAGACATTTTTCTTATTGATTAAATGATATGAATAATCAGAAAAACAAGATGAACTGATAATGAAAGTAATAGTTGCAGTCTATAATATCCTGTGTCCTTGATTTTCCTTGTTGTGTCCCATTTTGCTACCAGTTTTGACTGAAAAATAAACAGATTTGACACCCTCAGGCATCATTCTAAAAACTGTGGCGACATTGGATGGACAACATAATTGGGGTGTAGTAGTACGGTTGACAGTAACTATATGAAGGTGGTGTATGACTCTGCAAATCAATCTGGCCGAGTTATTCTGAGGTGGAGGAAGGCTGGGCTGGATTTGGCTGTTCACTCTTCCATTCCACAGTCTTTGTTTAAATAAAACCCCAACATGATTTCATACGTTCGAAAAACCGATTTCTTTGGAGTTTCACAGTAAAAAGACACAAAAACAGGATGGTGTATTGTTCAGTAGTGGATAAGATGCAAGAAGCAACTTAATCAGAAGTCCTTTTTTGTGGAGTCACCTGACAAGCCAGTCTTCAGTAGTTAGGTTGTATTAAAAAAGACCTTTACGGATGACTGAACAAAAACCCTCCAATCAGTACACTCCCTCCAGCTGACCCCAGCCTTCTGCTGCTGTGAAATTCCCTTTGTACTGCTGACCTTAATATTGGACAGGATAATGGCATGCAAGTCCCATGGGAGAAAATGGTAAAAAAAAAAAAAAAACCCTGTGTTCCTTCTGTGTGTTTGTTTATGGAAGCATATAATGTATAGGAAATCCTTGTCAGAATGTGTGGTTTGCATGCAGCCACAGTAAACGCATGAGTCCAGAGTACATGTTTACTGAGCCAACATGCTCATAAGGCCATCCTTATATCGATTCTCGGAAACCTGTTTTAAGATTCTCCAAAAATACATTTGAAAAATTGTTTTGTGACTGCACTCGGTACAATTCAATTCAACTGTATTGATTTTTATGACATACCAAGCAATGCAGAGCTATTGAAAAAATAATCACACACACCCACACGAAGGAGCTGCTCTGTAATACCACAGGCCTATACGCAGGTTAGTGAGCAGCTCCAGTGGAGCAGCTGGGAGGCAGGTACCATGCACAAGGGCACCTTGACACCTTTGACTGATGCAGTTGGCCAATATATCTGGTAAACAATTGACCTGCATTTACACATTGGTCAGTCGGGTCTCACATTGATATTAGGATATCATTCCCAGTCTATGTTTTCTGGATTCTGTTACTTTTTTTTTTTTTTTAACTGAAAAAACTAAAGTTCAGATTGAAAACTAATCCCTTCATAAGTTTTAAAATCCACCATTATTTCAAATATAGTTCTGTTGTGTAATTTTTTTTTAATTATTAATGTAGTCATCAAGTTTAACTCAGACTTTATTTTTGAAAGTGAACTTGTTATTTTCCAGTGGCATTGTGTGATTTCGTACCAGGCCATAAACATTCATGGGCAGTATGAAGGATGCGGCGTTGCCTACGATCCCCTAGCAGCCCTCCCATCATCCACAACTTCAGATGCAGGGACGACTGTCACAAACACGCCCTCTTTGTGCAGCCGGCACAGACACATCTGTCATTTGATATTTGGCTCATGCTAAGCAGAGGAACAGCTGCAGGGCACAGGAAACAGAGAACAGGGAAGACAGTAGCTGTGTGAGTTGTTTCTGACAGCTCCTCCTGTTGTGCGAGTATCAGTCCCTTTAGGATTTGAGTTTTCCTCTCTTTTCTTGCGGCCCAGAACTCTTGGTCCACACCAAATGCAAATAAACTTGTTCATATATAGGAAAAGTTTCGAAAGGGTGAAAATTTAAAGTCAGTAGACAGTTCCAGTGGGCTTTCCTGCATCATTTGTATGCATATGATGAAGAATTTTGTTGACTGAAGGAAATGATTGTGGTTTGAGTGTAAATAATAATGTGATTCTGTGGAAATGTGCTGCAAATCTTCCAATATTTCAGAAATGATCTAAGGATTTTTGCAAAGCCAAGTCGGTTTTGCAAATTTGTTAATTCCCTGGGGGGGGACCTAATTATGACAAAATGTCCAAACACTCACAATTCCCACTTCATCTTCCAAAAGTCCTTTAGCAGCTCTGAGCTACTGTAATCCCTGCCAGAGAAACAGACCGTTGCCCAGGCAACCTCAGTCCTGCCACCATGGCAGCTGTAACTGTGGCGAGGAGACACGGAGTGCCAGGGTGGACAGGTGTTGCTAGGGTCTTCAAGATCACTTTAGGTCTCTCAACCCTGCCTCAAATGTCATTACACATGTGGAGCAGCACTAACAAGCCGCTTGCACACAAACACACTCAGTGTGCAGGGTGCCGCTTCTCTATACTGCTATCCGAATTAAACGTTAGACTGCTGAGTTACACTAATGTTCTGTGTCATGCTAATGTCGAATTAGACAAGCACATGGTTCTCTTTGCCAGCTCGGAGCAGGAGGTACAAGCCACATGGCTATTTTTTTGTTGTTTTTGTCAGATAGACATACTGTAGGTATGAGAAATGAGTCATGTTCAGTGAAACATGGTAACCTGCTGTAGGGCAGGGTAATGGGACACTGCACAAAAAGTCAAACAAGCTCTCATTACCTTTTATCCAGGCAGAACATGGAGGCCACCACTGAAATTGGTCCTAGAAAATTGTAAGGGGAAATATAATGTGTGCTAGAGGAAAGCAATAGCTGAGAGAGTGTCGATTTAATAGCAAGAGCGTGTGCAGACCATGAAGGAAAGATAGTTCTGTTACTGAGTCAGTGTGGCGAGGCTCAAAATGTCTATTTCAGGGCTTGCTTTAAGTAGGGTGAGTCACCAGGCTTTTGGAGCACTAGAGGCTGCATATGTGTGTGTGCATTCATGTGTGCGCGCATGTATTTTTATGTGATGCCGCTGAATTTCTCTCTCACTCTCCCTCTATCTCCGTCACACACACACGCAAACACACACACACACGTGCCTGCCCGGAGGGTGCAGGTCTGTGACGGGTTAGGCGTTTTGGGTATGGGCCATCCTCTCTCTGTCTTTCCCTCAGCTCCTAGCAGCGAGCTGGCCCTAGCGCAGGGACAGGCAGCGACTTCAATCTGTTTGGTAAATACTGAGATAAGTAAGGCCCACCCATCGCCACAGCAGAAAATAGCCCAGGCCAGACATACAAGTGCAAAGATAGCATGGTATGCTGAAAGCAAAAAGGGGATATACCTTCCAAAGAGAAGACTGTGGACATGAATTAGCTATTTTAAGATATTAGAGGATGTGAAGGAAGTCAGAGTGATGGACAGACAATAGGAGAATGGAGAGACTGAGGGAGAAAAGCAAATGAGGGATGGAAACCGCCTCCTGCTGCCAGTAAAATGTCAATGGAACCCCGGGGATGCATTGATTAACCTCTCTGCTCCTAATCTGCCTTCACCTCCTCCACCTCTCACTGAAAGCAAACACAGAGACTGATGGTACACAGATGGAAAAACTGGCCAGCTTTGCATAAACATGCCACATTGTAGCTGAATGGACAAAGGCTTTTAGAGCTATTTTCAACAGAAAATTCAAAAGGACTGTGTGATGACTGGTTGGTAAATAAAAGGGTTAACAAACTGTGACCAGTGACAGATATCTCTTTTTCTCTCACTTTTCAGAATCTTTTTTCCCTTTTTTAAACATCAGAGATGGATTCTTTTTATACATTTGGGTGTTTAGGTGATAGAAGCTTGATGAAAACTTTCAATTTTTTCCATTCTTTGGGCAACTGACGATTATTTTCTCGATTCATTAATTAGTTATTTAGTATGTAAGATCAAAGGGATGTCTTAAAATAGCTTTTTATTTTGTTTGACCAAATGTCCAAAACTGAAAAAAATTAAATTTACTATCATGTAAGATGGATAAAAGCAGTCAATCTTCACATTGGACAGGCTGGAATTGACCCTCTAATTGATGTGTAATCATTTTCGCTTTAATTCAATATCATCTTTGTCTCTCCTACATGAGGAAATCTATAGGACATAATTTAAAGTGCAATCATTATAAGCCTACATAGATTGTAGGTGGCATGTAACAATAGGATATGTTGTTGACAGTGTTGACAATCCTACGATTCTTATTAAAGTAGCAAGTGCTTACTTGATCTCTGATGATGACTGGCTTACTATAAGTGCTCAGGCCTTTCCTTCTAGTTTTGCAGGAGTTTTCCTCAAATAGTCCCTCTAATTAGTCCAGAAACTAACCTTCTCCGTGTCCTCTCTCCCTGTTATCTCTTTTCTCTCTCTGACAGTTTGCTCCCAGTTCTCCAAGGGTGTGTATGCCATCATTGGTTTGTATGACAGAAAGACGGTCAACATGCTCATGTCCTTCTGCGGGGCACTGCACGTCTGCTTCGTCACCCCATCCTTCCCCATCGAGACGGCCAACCAGTTTGTCATCCAGTTGAGGCCTGAGCTCCAGGATGCTCTGGTGGGAGTGATCGACCACTATGGATGGACCAAGTTTGTCTACATGTACAGTTCGGACTCAGGTAGGAAACTTAATTACCCTTTATGTAATTTCACATCATGCTATATGTTTGGCATAATCATTTTTAGTGGACATAATTATGTATGACATAAACACATATAACATATAACACATTATAAACAGAAAATAAACAAAAAACATTATTATGCTCAGTCATCTTTGAATGACAACCTTTAGAATTTATTTTAAAAGGCAGTTCCAGTACATGCACATGGTGCTGTCTTCGTATTGCCATGGCGACAGCAACGGGGTCAATCATAGCCATTGTGCAGCAATGAGCAGCCATCAGTACATTTATTTTAGACCACCGTCTTTGTACAGACAGAGAGCACAGAAAAGAAACATTGACCTGCACTGACTAGCAGATAAATCACACAATGGAACAAAAGATTCATCTTTTATTGAGCAGTCCTCAGCAGTAACCCGTATTGCAACAGTCCCTTTGTCGATAGCGTACCGAAAGAAAAAAACAAAAAACAAACAGAAAATGCTGTAGCGTTCAATTTAAACATCTTAATAACACTCCTACAGAGGCAGACAGAAATAAAGCAGCACACCTGTCAGCCTCCTGCTTACTCCTCTTCCTCTTCTCTCAAGCCAATCAGCTATACCCTCCCCATAATGCCATGCCATCTGTCCCAGGTGTTGTGGGTTTTGGAGCATGACTATGAAGGATGTTTTCGTGTGTGTTCCCAAAAGTATGCACATGTTATGTATATGTGTGCACTCTTCACATGCAAATTTGCATGAATGCAGTATGAGGGCTTATTGCAACTTTTATCTGCTCATGTTTTTGACTTGTGTGAGAGACGTAAACAGGCTTAAGTCAGCTTTAATAGACAGATGCCATCATGTCACCCTGCAAATCGCACTATTGAGGAATGACAGGGGAGATTTCACAGTGGTCTCTAGCCCTATTGATGCATGATGGCCGTAGCGCCACACATGTCTCACAGATTTTTTTATCTTCTGTGATCCTTTCATTATCCACTTGCAAACTGTTGGGTACGCGTGTGTGTTTGTGTGTTTGTGTGTGCACAGGGTCACCCCTGTGTGATTGAGGGGTGGGATGGAGCAAGTGGAATCCGTATTAGTAGTCCTCTGTTGCCTGGATACTATGCTGTAGTCACCCTTCCTACAGGGTTATTTTAAGCCTTTAAGAAAAATCATATATTAGTTGTGAAGGATGTGTCTTGTGTTTGTGTGTGCAGGACTGTACATGCTTCTTCCCTCTTCCATTATTCTAATTTTTAATCACTTTTAGGTCATATTGTGTATGAAAAGACAAATCTTCTTTAATTTCTAGTCAAATATACTCTATTTATATTAGATGTGTATTTATACTTAACATTTTTAGGACAAGGACATACAAATAAGCATTGTCACTTTCCTAACATCTTGGGAGATTTATTTTTTTTCACCCTTTTTTGCATTAAGATCTGTCTTGCTGTCTTACCGTGCAGCATCCGCTAATAAAAGTGCCTCTCGTTTTTATTTTCAAAAGCCAAGAATGGCAAAACAAATTTGATAGCCCATTAAACCCATCATAAACAATATTCAGAAAATGGTTTCCCCAAAGTGTTATTTTCTCTACTCTCGATTGCCTGGTGCCCAGGTCTCCATGTATTGCCTCTGGCCAGAAGGGTGCTTATGACAGCCAGATTCCATTATGATATTATTCTCTTCCAGGATGCCTTTGGAGGACCATTTTTACCATGGCTAGTCCCACGAGCCCCTCTGTCAGGCTAGCGCTGATTTATAGGGGTGCATCAGCCACCCAACTACATTTAAAAAGGCAAGAGGATATTCAATGCAAACATAGTGGGACAAAAAAAGGAAGAAAGCAGGGAGGGAATGAAGAATAGATAGAAGATATGAAAAGATAAGAAATGTAATAGTTAAGCCACATTGATAACATGAGTGGAAACCTGATTCTCTGTAATACATTACAGTACAGAACATTCTCAACACCAAGCGTTGCGATTCAAGCACTAATTTTAGCCCCTCTTGACAGCTGCCCAGCTGTATGCTCAAGTGCTGGAACATAACGTACAAAATGCAGAACAAGATTAACAAAAAAATAAACACATAACAACATAAGAAAAGAAGAAAGACAATTCAAACAAAGAAGGAAGGAACAAAAGAATGAAAAGATAAAAAGCAGTGAAGCGCTTTAGTGAGACAGAGCCTCCTTTTCAAACTGCTGGGTCTGATTATACTGCATGGTGCTGTCCATGGTCCTGAAACCGTTACTGACTCCATTCAAAGACACTTGTCCATTCTTCTTAGGACCCACTGGCCTTATTCACGGCCATTAACTGCCTCGTGTGTTACCATGCCTATCATCAGCTTCACAGCTACTATTAAATCTGTCAGCACCAAGGACTACAATTATTCACTCATGAGCTACAGTGAATGGAAACCATGGAACCATGAGAGGTGCCATGCGTCCCCTTCTACCTCTCCAGTAATGCTTTACCAACTTTACCATTTTTCTTGGTGTCTAATTTATTTACACATACTACTGTATTGTGCTCATATGTGGAGGTGAAACACCATCCATCTTTTTCTTTCTTAATGACCTGGTGTCAAATAGGCAGCATAGATTGCCTGGAGAGCAGCTGGTGTGCATTGTAAAATAGCCAGGCAATCATCTTTCAGAGGCTGTCACTGCATTTCTCATCCTTCTTTTGACAGGGTCTGTGTTGTTGTTTTGGATAAGCCATTTGTACATTTGCTCAATATGCATAAAACGCCTGTATGAACATGAACAAACAAGCATGGTGGATACGCAAAACACATCATGTATAGGCCCACAGTAGCTTTAACAGTTTGCCAGCTTAGTGGAGGAAAAACAAATACATCTACATCATGTATTAGTTTACATTTCTAAATTTTGTAATTGCTATAATTCATTTGGGTAATGGCTGCCAGTCTGCTGCGGGTGAAATTACTTTATTTACTCTGTGGAACAACTGTGGCTGCCAGCTCGAGAGGAATCTGATTGGTCTACTGCCAGCAGCAGAGGAGTACAACAGTGAGTCAGATTGTAAATCAGAGCTCAAGATCAATGTGTTCTCTAATCGCCTTTTATTTCCTGTCTTAGCATGAGCCTTTAGCCCATTGGCTGCTCTACCGTCTTTCTCTATGATGCCCAAGTATCTCAGCAGCGTATCGGTGACAGTGTAATTGAGTAACGGCACCTGTAATTGGTGCTTGGAGGACGTAAAGCTGGCTGTGAGTGTGTCGTCCGCGATGATGCACAGGCTGATTATTTGTTAGTGTTAGGTAATTATTTAGCCTGGCGCTGTACGCGCTGGATAAGCACACCTGTACGTGTCAGTGTGCTTAATGGACTGTCCCACTCATTGTACTTTATCACTGAAGCTACAGGGGAGATTCTGATGGATAAGCTTATCAAGAGCAGTTTGGTTTTCTGCACGGCTTCTGTTTTGTTCTCAAGTTGTTTTAATTTATCTTTCTGCTCATAATATAACTACACACAGTATAAGATTAACCTGCACATAATTTATGTCTCATGCTGCCTAATAAAATATAGAGATGTGGAATGGATCGCACTCAGTAGAATACCAACTAGTCATTCATCATTTTGTTCATCTTAGACTCCTTTGCAGAACTTTTGCTATTAATGCCCACACATTTCATACTTCCTGCAATTCCCAAAAACCTGAAATCTTTACCTTTCTCCACTCTTCCGTCTAGGTCTGTCAGTGCTGCAGAAGGTTCTGGACACAGCAGCAGAGAGGAACTGGCTGGTGACCTCAGTCAATGTGGAGACCATGACAGAGGCGTCCTTCTTGAAAGTGTTCCAGGATTTGGACAAGAGGAAGGAGGGCCAGATTATCATCGACTGTGAGACTGAGAGGCTCACTGGCATCCTTAAAAAGGTAACAAGCTTTTCTGTTTTTGCAGTGATAGGGGATTATGTAATTATGTTGCAATATATAATGCAATTTCAGCATTAGGACTGAAACCTCATAACATAATAAAATCATACTGTATGTTATGCATTAGCTCCAAATTTTACTAGTAGGAATTTTACATAATCAGTGAATTTACCTTCTGGACATATATCAAGCTTATTAGAAACTAAGTAATTAGCCTGCATGAGTTTAAGGTTAAAGGACTTTTTCAGAAAAATATATTGCAGAATTAAAGAAGAAAAATACAAAGAAAGAAGAAGAAGAAGAAGAAGAAGAAGAAGAAGAAGAAGAAGAAGAAGAAGAAGAAATACAAAGTTTAGAACAAGGAACCAGGCATTTTCACCTTTTGATAGTGATAGTGAAAAAGAAGAATACAGGAAATGAGGGAGAAACTACGAGTATGACATGCAACAAAAGTCCCCAGCTGGAATCAAACAAACATTGCAGTTATGTGGCACGCAATGTAACCCATCAGCTACCAAGGCCCTCTGGTTGTGCATATTTTAATCAAATGAACAAAGGAGAGAGGGAGAAAGAGAAAAGAGGGGATATGAATGTAAAGTGGGGCTTAGTTGGTGGCCGGTTGTGGTGTTTAGTCTCCTGGAACATCAAGGACAGGAGAGATAAATAATGCAGCATTGGCATTTGGAGTCGGCAGTTTATCTGTGATAGGATCATCACTTACTCACCTCTGTATTGTTGAAAGGAAAAGGATGTTGGCATCACAATCGACTGATCGCTAAACCCCTCACACCAAACAGAGATTGACCAATCACAGCTTAGTAACCGTAACTAGGCATGGCAGGCCATGTTTGGGATTTCACTGCATGTGGAAGCGGTGCACATAGGGCTGTAGTAAGAGTTCAATTGTTTGGATGGTGGTGTCTTTTGTTGTAGACTATCCAAAAACCAAAAACACAAGAGCAAAAGTGTAAAAAATAGATAAAACAGTGTTTGTCTGCAGTAACGTAAGCTCCAATCATTAGCATGTCTGGCTAACCAGCTTACTACCTACATTACTAGCCAAGCGCTACTTCCAAGTCCAAGGAGCATTCCTTTAGCTAACTATATTAGTTTGTGGGGTTACATGTTGCATTTAAAAAAAAAAGATGAATTAATGACTAGCCCATCCACTGTGTGGAAGGTGGTTCTGGATGATTGATGAAGAGTTTAAAGTAATGTTAGTCCTACTAGTAATCCCGACAATGCTCATTATCTGGGTTACAGCTAGTGTACAGAACCAAACTGTGAGTTAGTCCTCAACCTAAAAGCCTTTTCTCTTATAAAATTTAAAGATACTGTTTGAAAATACAAAAAAGTATGAAAAAAAACAGGGTTATTTAATGTTAGAAAAAACAGTCTGATCTTTTCCTGATGATATTTATAATGCTATGACTAATTAGCTTTACACTTCTTTAGTTTTTTCCACATCTTCTACATGAAATATCAACTGGTGATGATTCTGACTATTCACCAAATGGCAAACTCCACGGCTGGTAAATGAAGCCAACACAGAAATAACAAAACCTGCTGTTTCTTGAACGGCCACTTGAGCCTGGCTACAGAAGTGAGTCAACCTCCACAAGGCCCTATATTAGCTTTACAAGTTTACAACAGAAATAAACATGTTTACAGCCTGCTAAAGACAGTTGTCATTTCAGCTAAATTAATGGTTCCGCGCCAGAAAGGAGAAGCCTGCATTTATGTATCTAGCTACAAAAATGTGAAAAATAAATTGAGTGCTAAAGCTGCTGCTGTTATTATAAACCTTTTTCATGGCAGGCTTCTTGGCATTTCATAGCAGGAAAATCACAGGTGTACTAATAACATGAATAATGATTGCATTCCATTTAGGAGAGCCAGTTTCAGGGTCCGAGTATTGTGCATGCTGGCACACTGTCATGCCTCACTGGGACACTTAATGGAGCATAGCCATCGTTAACATAATTGTTTCACCTGTGCTTTTCCTGCCATGACAAGTCAAAATGTCTGCCATGAATAAGGTCTTGTAAACTGACATGTATCAACAGAAATCTTGACATCCACTTCTGGGACCTGTTTGTTCATATAGACGATTGTACTCCCAGAAATATCCACATTTTTGTTATATTTGTACTGTTTTGCTGATGTCACCTGTGTGATTTATGAGTTTTCTGTCAGATCTTTATAGTTTTTTTCTGTTCCAGTACATTGGTGTTTATAAGGAAGAAAAAAAAAACGCACACATGCACTTTAATGATGTTCATAACAAATACACACAGTCCCCATCTGTATGTGTAGGCTAGGGCTGCTCTGTGTGAATGTTATTGATGGCCTGGTGTCTTCAGTTAAGGTTATTGCATCAGTTCTCACCAGTTTACAGGAGCTGAGCCTGAGAAGTTCTCCATTCAGACGGCCACCATCAATCACCCACATCTGCTCCCTGCCTCCACAGTGCCATGCCTGTGCACCCAAACAATGGCGAACACACACACACACACACGCACCCGCACACACACTAACACACACACATACAACACCCCTGCCTCTTTTGGCCTTTAAACTCACTCCCGTGTTCATCTCATTCATCTGATACAGTACACAGATTCTCCTACGATAATGCCACTGACAGTATCCTGAGGGTGACTTCTCGTATAAGCTGAATGTTGATGTAGTCTCCTCAGAGAACATTCATCGTGACAGAAGAGCTACCTCAAAAACGTTTTAGAGTGTGTTTTCCAACAGAGAGACAAAAAGTGACCCATTCTCTTGGGGCTGAACTCTGAATGACTCTTCAGATTTGCATGTATAATTAAAAACCTACTCGCATCCAAAACATTTCCATTTGACGGTCCACTGTGGCAGAAATGTGTTTTCCCCCAGCGTCGAGTGTATTGGAGTCAGTGCTAGTGTGCGTCTCTCCTCCTTCCCTCTAGTTTTTCCTTGCCCGGGGCTCGGCCTCAGGACCTGCCTTGTGCTGGGGTCACCATTAATAACAAATGCCACCTTCTGTCATGACCTACAGCATCATTAGACACACACACACAACACACAAACAAATGAGTACACTCCCTGAAGTATACACAAGGGAAAAAGCTCACAGAGAGCAATAGGAGTGAAAAATGTGTGAGGTCACGCATAGTGCCTGAACAGACAGTGGAATAAGCCTCTTATCCGCTCTGCTTAGGCTATTAATTGGATGCATGGCTTTGAATAAGTGCTGCCCACTCTTCCTTTTTTTATGTGACTGCCCAGTATGCTGTGATGACACATACCGGTATACACACACACGTATTTGTTGTACAGTAAAGCAGGCTCTTTATTTAGGCATAGACAAACCAGACAGTGTGCCTTGAGTGCCACCAGCGAGACGGGGGATTTTTTTTTCATCTCACATCACATCTACATTCACTTGTCAGTCAAAGTGGTGTCCAATGTGCGCATTTCATTTAAAAATAAACCAGTTCTGGCACTACACTACGCCTCTCACTGTGATGTTCAAACTGCCCTGACCCTCGGTGCTTGGCTGACCTGTGACGCCAGCAGTTATAGAATGACAGCAGCGCAGGCTGGGGAGAGATGGAGCGTAGGTGTGGGAGAGGGGCTTGTGTTCAGCACTGACAGCCTTCATTATTTGATGGTGTTGTTCGAACACAATGGAGTTCCAGGGATCTAGAATATTGTAAGTTATTTAAATAGGAGATCAAAGATCAAATCAGAGCTCTCAGGGGAGCATTTTTGAAAACAGATAAAACAGGGAGAGAGAATGCAGGATTTATTTACAACCTGACATGTAAAAGCCTCAAAGATATCGAGTGCAATATGATATATATAGTAAATTTGACTGTATTTCCTATTTTCATTTGATACCTTTTGTTACTGCTTTAAAAAGGCATATACCAACCCATTCTCCTCAACTGCCCCCCCTGTTTCTTCGATATGTTAGCTGCCTCCAATAGGAACAAACTCATACGCATCATGCACAGCGCTTCCAAAATTATTGGTCTCCCCACCCGCAACCTCTCAGACCTTAACAGCAAAGCCATTTAACGCAGAGCACACACCATAGCACACGACCCCAGGCATCCCCTCAACCCATTCGTCACATTGCTCCCATCTGGTCGCAGATACAGGAGTTTTGTCCCTTCTGCCATAGCAATGCTAAATGTCAACAAAACATCTTGGTTACTGTCGTGTGTAAATATTTCTGAATGGAATGTGTGTATACATGTGCAACTTTTTTTCTTGTGGTTATGTTGTGAATATTTGTATTTATTTGAGGCTATTTTTCCTGGAAAGGACAACAAGGAATCTAATTGTTTATTTTGTAAAAAATAAATATAATTTCTTGCTTTTTTGATTTTAAGGTTGCTTTAGGGGAATCATTGCCATTATTATGGTATTTAAGAGGAATTCATAATGTAGCAGCGTTTCTTTAACATAGGAATATTGTCAGTGGTGGGTTTGTGTTTTTGTGGGAATGAGTCAGCCCTGCAGTACATGTAGTCTGTCTGTCACCCTGTTACACTAATAACATTCATCATTGGGGGTGAAAGAGAGGAGAGGAGAGTTCACTTTTTACTCAGGTATTAAAGCTGATCTTTGTTAAATTGGTTACCTTTTATTATATTGAATGTTCAGTATTCTGTCCATTTCCTCTCCCTCTCCCTTTCCTCCACTTTCTGACTATCCTGCAAGGTCAAGTACTGTACTCTTTACCAGGTATACTGCTGAGACAACTTAAAAACCTCTCTCTCAGTTGTACACACACACACACACACACACACACACACACACACACACCACCCTCTGTTTGTGTATCACAGGCATTTTATTTCTCTCTCCAATGACTTTGTCTTACAGATTGTTGAACAAGGCAAAAATGCGAAGAGCTACCACTACATCCTGGCTAACCTGGTAAGGAATCGTTATATCACTGCATCTTTATCTTGTTAGATGACTTCGAAAAAGGTTCCACATACTTTCATACCTTGATTAAATTTGCGTTGTTATAAAATGTGCCTTTTAACAGGATTCCAGACTTTCAGTACTTTATTGCCGGTTTAATAGACTTGCATGTGCCGAATAATTTAGCCCAAAGCTACCTGGTTTTATGTCTTTTATGTTCTCTCATCCCATTTTCCTCTTCAGCTACATCATATATCCATTCACTGTGCTGTCAAACCTGCATACATAACAGCAGCACTGTAGTAGACTAACAGTAAAGAGCACAAGCAGGAAACCTGTGACAGTCAGAGACAGAAATCTATGCAGACTCACAGTGACAGAAAAAGGTCAGATGGCCAATGTGGAAGCTTATATCCATTAGCTCTCTTTGTCTGTTGTCATTTCCTCAGTGAAAATGGTATGTAGACCCCTACAGCACTGCTCAGACTCACTAAATGCAACCAAATTAAGATAAAATTGACATCAGCAGAGGCGGTAGTAATAACAGCATTAATATGCAGCTGCTGGCTTGAACAATTTTTCACTGCTGGACTTTTAGATTGGCTCAATCTCTCTTGTCTGGCCCGTTTGCCAGATTTAATTTTAAATGATAAGGCTCGGACGTTAATAACAGCTGATACGCAAAGTGGCCACAGTCATTTATAATGGCTCCATTAAAAGATTTGCGCAAAAAATTGCTTTTTTTGTGTCCTTGCACCTTTTCAGAAACTTTCCTAATTTACTAATGTGTGTGCACGTCTGCTCTCTCTCTGTGTGTGTGTGTGTGTGTGTGTGTGTGTGTGTCCGTATGTGTGTGAATCTGAAAAACAGAGCCTAGTGCCACAGAGAAAGGAATTTGATTTAATACTTAAATGTGGTTAAAATATCTGTCAGAAATCCCCCCCTCCATGTCCAGTTTTTGCAAAAGGCTAGTTTCTATAGTAACCTCTTCAGCTTACTGCACTGCATTAGCTCAGACATGGAGCAGAAAAAGAGACACAACTCTGTCTGTTCAGCTGAGAAATATGGACACCTGGCAACACACACAGGTACATTAGGGAGAAGGTGCTGAGAGAAGGCAGGGAAGCCTCCGCCTCTTCTTTGCTTGCATTTATCTCCCGGAGCTTTAGCTTGCCTTCATTTTGTACCTGTTACTATACCCCAAAACCAGAAGGGCATGAATCAGTTTGAACCTAATGTTAGTTAACATCCAGCCTCTTCTATGTGTCTTTCCTATATTTTATATGAAGATCAGAGAAAGTAAACAAGTGAGCATTTGAGACAGACATAAGGCCAAGAGAGAGCCAAAATGACAGAAATATCAGAGCAGAGAGGAAAGAAATAAAGGATAGAAAGGTGTGTGTTGTTAGACAGCCTGGCGCGCAGGAGACAATCCAGAGAGGCACCTTTTCTTCTCATCAGTCAAAAGTTTGCTCTTAAATCTTAGACAAATCAGAGACAAATCTGCTCTCCCCCTCTCCTGCTCTGTCTCTACTCCCACCCATTCCCACTTGTCTGCCTCTTCTTCTCCCCACACTGACAGGCAGCCTGCTGAGAGACTGAATCTGCCTCTCCTACTCTCTGCCATTCTCCCTCCTAAAAAAACAGCCATCTCCACATAATAGTCAGGGGAAAAAATACAAGTATGAGATACCATTACAGTAAATCGCTTCTTTCTCCGTTCTACTTTGCCTGAGGCGTCCCTTGCATTGTTAACAGTAGCCTATAAGGTTTTGATCCTGCCATTGTTAACAATAGCCTATGAGAACTCAGTATATCAGAGATTAGCTCTGGACAGTTCCCGCCATGAAATGAGTTTTTTTTCTTATTTTATTTCTCACCACTCTTGCCCCTCAGGAAAGACAGAGATGAAGTCTTCTCAATGGTATATCCTCTCTAAGTGGAAAAAAAGGATTTGTCGTTTTCATTATGCTTTTAACCCTTGCACTTTTGATGGTAGAGTTAAAAACAGTAACTATAATGTAGTGCATTCTGCAGAATTACCTTCTAATGCTTTGTGACTTCTACATCACGGTCACTGGTCTCCAACCTGTTAAGCCTGTGACTCCTTGTCACTGGTTGCGTTTGCCAAGTGGTAGTGGCCAATTCAACCAAAAAAATCGTTTTCCCCCTTGTTTTATTTATAATAATGTGTATATAATTTCACAATAAAAGAAAAGCTCAAAGGAAACAATTTTCACACATGCTGTGATTCCTATCCTTCAGTGTTTCACAACTTGGGGGTTGGGGACATCCATGGGTCCCAAGATGAATCTTGGTGGTCACACAATGAAATAAATAATTTAATTTAAAAGAAAGACATTTATGTCACACAAACTTATGTTTGTTTTCTTTTTCTTTCTTTTTTTGCTAAAACTCTGGATACTTTGACCTCATCGTGCCACTGAAGAGCCTTCAAATGAAAGGCATAATCTGTGATGAGGGGTTGCAATTAGGCACTGATTTGTTTTAACCCCTCAGATTTACACTTAACAGCTGCACTATCTGCATGTCTATCTCCTTTATGTTCCTAACTACCTCATTGTCATTGATGTTTTGTAGTGTGAGTAGACGGACAAGCAGGATTGTCACTCCAGCAAACATCAAGATAGAAATCATGGTCCTCATGTCATTACACATTAAAACAATGGCTAGTAGGCCTGAATATGCTAAAATGGAATGCAATTCAATTAATGACTTTCAGGATTCTGCTGCAATCAGTGTAATCATACACTGTGCATTTGAATTAAAAATTATTATAATTATTTATTATAATTAAATTATTTATTTATTTATTTTTCTTACGCAGTATGTATACAGTATCTCTTTTTCTATTTGTATGTCTCACTTCACCTCCTGCCCACTTTCTGTCTCAGGGTTTTCTGGACATTGACCTAACAGACCTGAGGAAAGGTGGGGCGAACATCACCGGCTTTCAGCTCGTCAACAACTCTGAGCCCAGCGTCAGCCGTGTCGTCCAACAGTGGCTGGAGTTTGACAACAAAGACTCCAAAATGCCCAAGAGTGGACTCAAAGTACAACTCCTTTGCTATTGTCCTTTGAACAATCCTCCTCTTTTTCTTTTATTTTCCCTCTTCTGTCTTTGAAGCATTAGCACAAGAGGTTGTAAAGGAGTTCCTCTGTAATGTTTAAAGAAACGTAAACTAAATCATGATTTTCTTTTGGAGTTCTCATAAGTGATTTTCTGTATGATATCCCCTGTTAGTTTGTTTTTGACTGTCAGCAGCATATTGCAAAAAGCTATGAAAGGATTTCTAGTACATTTGGTGGTAAGATATCCCTTGATCCTATCTGAGTTTGGTGATTCAGATCTTGGCTTTCTACTATTATATGATGATTTTTAGCCATGATGACTAAAATCCAACTAGCTGAGATAGAGAACTGATTCCAAATCCAAATATGTGTGTGTTATAGGGTCAATAAATTAACTAGAATTGTAAGTAATAGAAATGATGCCTAAAGCCGGAGGATTCTTCAAAGATATTTGAGGTTTTGAAGTGTTGCTGGCTTTTGAAATTTATAGATTTCTTTCACTGCTGTCTTCAGCCAAGACCCTTATCAATTTTTATTGCTGTTTTTGCTTCTGTTTGAATTGTCTGCTCTCTCTTTACAGTACACAGGCGCGCTAACATATGACGGGGTCAAAGTCATGTCCACGGCTTTCCAGAATTTAAGGAGACAGAGGATAGATATCTCTCGCAGGGGCAACGCTGGAGAGTGTCTTGCCAACCCACCAGCTCCCTGGGGACAGGGCATTGACATTCAGAGAGCCTTGCAGCAGGTCTGCATACAGCATACATAGAAAAACGCAAATGCGTGCACACACGTACATTCATAGACCTTCACACACAAACAAACAAATTCTTGAGTGGCACATTGGCTAACAGCTCTTGAGTTGGGGCTGGCTGAACAAATTAGGTCTCATTCTGTCGTGTAAAGTTCACATTAAGTCGTAGGAGAGCTCTCCAGTATCAAATGTGACATCATGGCTAGTAAACAAAACCTGCAGGCAATAACACTCGGCCATGATCATCATGGAATATGACATCAGCAATTGAGTTTAGAAATGTAATATCTGCAATGGAAAATATGGAAATGGACTAGCTGTGAGACCTCCTGATTTCATATAGACACACAGACAGTCATGCATGTAAAATTAAGTATATCGAGGAACAAGGACAATTATTTTATTATATTTTAAATGACATTTTGCAGAAATACAGTTGCCAATTAAAAAGTATTATATATATATATATATATATATATATATATATTTACTCTGAAACACCATTAACATGAAGTATGGAGGTATAATAAATGCACTCTGTTTGCGAGGGCATACATGTAATTGCATGTGTGAGTGTGTGTGTGTGTGTGTGTGTGTGTGTGTGTGTGTGTGTGTGTGTGTGTGTGTGTGTCTGTCTATGTGCAGCCCGAGGCTCTGTGAGCAGAGTGGCTGTGCAGAGGCCTGCTCAGAGTCAATCTAGCCATCTGCCTGAGGATAGACTGGAGATTGAAGCTGTGTTCGCTCAATTAACTCCATCCCACAGCCAAGACAAACACACTGCACTGTACACATACACGCACACCGTCTGTCATTCACTTCCGTAGGGACCCAGGCAGTGTGGACTTTCACAAATGAGTACTATACAAACAAATGCAAGCTATGCTTAACATGCATTGCGTGTAAGGGTGACATGCAAATGCATGCCGCCACCGCAGACATGTAGAAAATGGACTGTATGAATAACATGCTTCACGGCAGCCATTATTTACCCATCTGCCGGGCAAGTTGGAGCCTGTGAATTACTTATTTAATATCTGTGACTTCATTACAGGTCCGTATAGATGGATTGACTGGTCACATTCAATTCAATGAGAAAGGCCGCAGGACAAACTACACTGTTAGCGTCATGGAACTGGCCCCCTCTGGACCCAAGAAGGTAAGCCTGAGGCACTAAGTTAAGATATTTATTCTTGGTCAGGACCCTGTTTAAAAACCGTGCTTGCAAGCTTATTATTGAAATAACCCTGTGACTCATTTAAGTCACAGTTTAAGACATTTATTCCTCCTGCATACACTGAAGTGAACGAGTAACGTTTTAGAGCAGCTCTCAAGTGGTCTTGGTGGTTAACCACATGTATGCTTTGAGCAGGAAAAGCCAATCAGGGAGAATGATTTATCCTACATGCCTTGATTTTCATTCTTTGAAAAAAATCTTTACATTTTACTGATGCTTTTCTGTAAAAGCATGTGTAATTTAAATTTTCCAAAAAAGATGGGTGCAGACAGCGAGGATAAATGGAAATGACAATGATAGCTTTATTTATGCTGTTGGCACCCCTGATTAATAAAACACTGACTGTGTTCAGACTGCAGGCGTAAGTGGCCCAAATCAGTTTTTTTGCTCATATGTGACTCAAATCAAAAACAATTTATGACAGTGTGAACAGCACAAATCACATGGGATCGGATCTTTTCAATTCTGATTTGGGCCACTCATGTTCTCATTGGCCTGGGAACATGTGTGCTCACCTCTGTCTCTGTACTGCAGCCATGTAAATATACTCTTAACTAATTTAGGAGACCTGTTAAATAAAATAGTGATATACAGCTTTTATTCTTAGAATGCAAATTGGACTCAAAGTGAATATTTTACATTTTTATCATTCGCTTAAGACCAAAATTTCACTTTTAGCAATCTGATAAATACAGGACCTGGTTTGTGATATATTCTCTGTGTCTTAGGTTGGCTACTGGAATGAAGATGAGAAGTACGTGACTACCGCCAGCTTCATGAGAGGCAGCAATGAGACTTACGGCCTACAGAACAGAACTTATATAGTCACCACTATTTTGGTAAGTCAGTGTAAAATAGAGAGGTTGAGGGATTTGGGGGAGGAGTGGCTGTTGAGATGGTCAGTAAAAAGGCAGGGTAACATTTTTCATTTTCTTTTATGATAGAGTTTCCCTAAAGTTCAGGCCCCTGAAAGAATTCAACAGACATCTGTGATTATATCACCCTCCCTCCCTCCCTCCCTTCCCTTCTCAACTCTATTCTGCTAACTTCTGTCTGTCTGACTAGTGCCTGCACAGAATTAGAATCACTTTATTTGGCAGGTGCAATAAAAGTACAGAATTTTATCTTGGGGAGACCGGCTTACTGACTCACAGTTCAACTGTTATAAGATAGCACAAGGACAACACAACCTCATACTTATTCTTAAAAGATGCAAACAAAAGAACAGAATGGGCTAGTAGTGTCTAGTATTGCATTCACCATTATGGTACTAGTTATACAGTACTAAATAGTACTGAAGAACACTAATGTCATGAGGCTGTGAAGTGTCAATGTGCCCTTTATTTCATTGTCCTCTTTATTTGGCTCAGATGTCGCCATCAGGGTGTTCAGCACGACTTGGCCAGGTTGTTTTAAGTGTCCTGGCCTACATAACAAAGATTGAGCTGCTGTGCTCTGTGACGGTTTGAGAATAGGGCAGCAAAGATTCAATCTGACCAGCTCAGTGGTTATCATGAAATTTTTCTTCAAAAGAAAGGAACATAGCCGGTATATACAGTTGAGGTAATAAAGATGGTCATATATCTTTGCAGGAACAGGATGTTCTCAGTGTCTGCATCTTGTTGAAAATTTAATATCAAAGAATACTCCGTGTCTGTAGATGCCTGGAGCACAGCACTGGATCTTTTTGTACTCCTGCTATATTTTTTCAAGTGGGGATGTCTTTTATCTCTGGGAACCACTGCCGCCAACTAATTTTGTTGGACTTGTAGCAGATGTAGCAATCCAATATATGGATAAAATGTGTAGAAACAACTAGCTGTTTTTAGAATTTCTGCAGCAAACTTTACGTCTAGCAGGGCAATGTGTGTGCAGCTTATCGACGCTGTGAGGGTTAATGGGGTAAAGGATTTCAACTATGTACTTCCCTTAAGAGAAATTCACCGCTCAGCAGATAAGGGCTTGGTGGCGGTGATGGAGCTGAGAGACAATGTAGTAAAAAAGAAAGAAAGCATTGGCACACTCCAATTTGTCCAATCTTTTTAAAGAGGCAAGCTTTCAGTCGGGGACCTTGTAGCATCAGCAGGAAACAGCTGAACAAAACAATATATAGTGACATTACCAATGTGAATAATCAAATAACGCTGTATCCATGCCATCTTGTGCCGACTGTGAATACCAGCACCCACCCACCCAACTGTTCACATCAGTCTCTTAGTCGTAATTAAGATATGGGGAATTTCCAATCAAATCTGTGTTTCAATAAAAATAATGGATAAATGATCAAAATGGTTAGATTAAAAGTAAATGCTTAAAATATTTAGATAAAAGTAATAGCCTTAACATTGGCAGTCCAATTGTATGAAACTCTTTTTCTAATCTACTTTTATATAATATTAAATATAGCTATTTGTATAATATTAAAAAACATCCAGTTTAAAACTAATCAAAATGAATTCAAATGAACACATTTGGAGAACAACAGGTAGTGCTGATGAAGGGGTACTTCACAAGACTTGGTGGTACATTTGACAAAAAGGTTTGTGAACTTATGCAAAACCTAATATGTAGTCTTTTGACATCTAATTAAAAAACATGAGAAAATCCTCATTTAAACCCAAAGGTTGCAGTCTCCCAAGAGTGTGGACCTAAAATAACTCCCTCTGACATAATCTCCTATCAGTGTCCCCTTTTCTAGGAAGATAAATTGGTTCTCTGTCTTGGAACGTAAGAGAAGAGATAAGGTGTGAACAGTTATTGGGCTGCTGGGTAGCAGTAGAGTTTTTACACCTTATAACTTTTGTGCACACTGATTTGTTGCTTGAGGTAGTGTGTTGTCTTGCCAATGTGAAGGTATCACGTTGTGCTTTCCTACAATCCCTGCTGTCCCAGCCTGTGCATACAGACCAGGCCTGGGTTAACAGGAGATCTGGAGCAGTGAAGCACAACTTGTTTAATGGAGCACTCAAGCTTGGTGTCTTCAAGACTGTGGCTTTACACTAAGACCAGGCCATGACTGGAATTTCAAGATTTAGTTTTAACTTGCCAGGAGTTGGTTTTTAATGGAGTACTCACTATGTGCAACTACTGAAACAAGTGCAGTTTTTTTTAATAGGCTTTCAGCAAGAAATGGTAGCGTGCATGAGCAAATTATGTAATTTCTAAAATTCCCTCAAGGTCTGTTTAAATTGGTCTCAAAAATAGGTAAATGGCAAAACTAATCAAACACACTAATTCCATGCATTTTGTTTTATTTTATATACTTTTGTGTGTGTTTGCACATGTACACATATTATGTGTTTGAAATGTGTTCTGGCTCGTGTGTGTGTGTGTGTGTGTCGGTTTTATATTTAACAAGGCTGAGTGACAGCGGATCTCAGTGGAACTGTCTGAGGTCAATGAGACTGAGTCCTGGAGGACCTACTGTATGCCGCACCATGCCTGTATGTGTACTTGCGCGTGCCTGTGTTCAAGTGCGAGTGTGTCTATGTGTGTGAGGGCACACATGAATACTCGTGTGTGTGTATCTGTCTTTGTGACTGAAAGTGCACCCTGTCGAAACGCTGCACGCCAGACCTTTCTCACCACTGTCTCCCTGGGGTGCCATTTCTCTACCAGTGGGCCTTGGGTTTCCATGTGTAACAATGATTACCTTCACCTCACCCATAAAGAGCAGGAGAACCCAGACCACTGTTACACACAGAGGAACCCCCCCCCCGCCCTTCATCTCTAGACCCTGATGAAATATGATGGCAGGATTTGCTCAGCTCAGCACAGCCTTAGCTAAAAGGAGGCACACATAACAACTTGTGGGAATTGAGGGCCTCTAAGTGCTGGTGGACAATTCCCACTGAGTTGACCGGAATTCTGTATGAAATACATTTTTGTCAAAGTAAAGCTGGGCTCCGGGTGTCATGTCAGCTGTAATTTCTCAAGACATCCAATCAGTGTGAGATGTACAAATGTCAATATGATATAACAAGAAGAACAGCCTGGCCATCAGCCTGGCCCTGGAGCAGAGGTCAGCAATGTCTGCTTTACCGTCCACACGCACAGATACTTCTTCAACTCAGATCCGATGTCTTCTCAGCTTTAGTAATGTTACCAACCAACACTCCTTTCAATGTGGCAATGCTGTCGTAATGATCATACTTAGGTACCTTTTGTGTTTGAATTTCACGCCACACCTTCAAGGAACAAAGCCAAAATAATACCTTGTAATTTCATATAATTATCTTTTCTTTTGAACCCTTCACAGCAGTAATTGCATTTTGGACCCATTAAGATTTCTTTCCCCCAGTCTCAGCTGTGAACAAAGGGGTAATAAGATATGATGAATTGCACAGAAACATAAAATTCATCCATAACATCCCATCTCAAATTTCTGAACATTAAACTTAACTACATGCTAAAGCTTGATTATCAGCCATAATGCTGTCTTTAACTTAATTAACTTAACAAACTGTCCTACTGTAAAAGTTACGCCACTTACAGTTATAACAGCTTGTGTCCAAAAATGTGTACATTTTGTTTTCACAGCAGTGAAATTCGAAATTATTTCAGAAGTTGTTCTCTGATATCCTGTTTAATATTTTTGACACCTGATGCAACTGAAATAAAATTGATAACTGTAGAACAAAAACATTTTTTAATCATGGTTGCCCTAACTCCAACAGGAATCTCCATATGTTATGCTGAAGAAGAACCATGAGCAGCTTGTGGGGAATGATAAGTATGAGGGCTACATTGTCGAGCTGGCTGCAGAGATAGCCAAACATGTGGGCTACCAGTACAAACTGAAGATTGTTTCAGATGGCAAATATGGAGCTAGAGATCCTGAAACCAAGATGTGGAATGGCATGGTGGGAGAACTGGTGTATGGGGTGAGCAAACAGATTTTGTGTTGGATTATTTCCCATTTAAACCTGGATACATATAAATAGACACAAGCTACTAAAAGTCTAATCTAAATGCTGTTTAGTGTATAACATGTTAATGGCACACATGCCAATCAATCAAAGAAGGTTAAGACTTTTGCCATATTTAAAGACACTGTGCAGATTTTAATCTTTTCTAACTGCCAACCCCTCAGTAACAAAAAGATCAGATCCAAGGACACTGAGAATGATTGCACCAATTTTCGCCAATTTTCGTCTCTTTTTTGCTGAAACCAAAAATGTATTGTATGCCATGATAAATGAGATAACGAGACTAAGAGATGAAGAGTCTACAGCCATGCTAGCAGCTCTGTGAGGCTGTACTTGGGCACAGCGGTGCTTGGAGTTAAAATACTAATGTCGGCATGCTAACATGCTCACAATCGCTAAGATACTGATGTTAACCATGTATAATGAGTACCATCTTCACTATCTTAGTTTGTTATGTTAGTATGTTCAATTTTCTAATAAGCACCAAGCACAAAGTATGGCTGAGGCTACCTGACTGCCAACATGGCCATTCCTAGAACCATGCAGTTAGTGAGCTACTTACATCCTGCTTTGTGCACTCCTGTGCTTTTACCATTAACAAATACATTGTAGACCACAGCAGACTCACAGATTAATGATGCTGTGTACTCCTGTTTACATGCCTGCCTCTGTCTCTCCCTCAGAAAGCAGATGTTGCTGTGGCGCCTCTGACTATCACCCTGGTCCGTGAAGAAGTGATCGACTTCTCCAAGCCTTTCATGTCCCTGGGTATCTCCATTATGATCAAGAAACCCACCAAATCCAAACCTGGCGTGTTTTCATTCCTGGACCCACTGGCTTACGAGATCTGGATGTGCATTGTGTTTGCCTACATCGGCGTCAGTGTCGTCCTGTTCCTTGTCAGTCGATTCAGCCCGTATGAGTGGCATGCTGAGGACTACGAGGAGGGAGGTGAGCCGCAGACTCCCACCCAAGCATCAGCCTCCAACGGGGTGCAGCAGGGCCAGACACAAGCACAGCAGAACACCAACCAGCAGAGTCCTGAGCAGACCAATGAGTTTGGTATCTTCAACTCCCTTTGGTTCTCACTGGGGGCCTTCATGCAGCAGGGCTGTGATATCTCACCACGGTAAGCCACTGAATTTCAATGCATGGCATCTACAGTGCTTTGAGTTTCTGCTGTTGTTTGTTGGTACGAGAAGAGACACTAATCGCCACCTACGTACATTATATTTCTGTCTGCCACACCAACGTTTCAACATGCTGCGTTGCTTTCTTGTTTAACTCAGTTGGGCTTTGTTTATTGAGATTTTGTTCTTTGCCAGTCACTTGTCATACAGAGCAACGATAAAACTTTGATGTAGAGCAGCAGAGGGAGTTTATGATGTGGTCATGTTGCAGAGTGTTGCGTTTTCATTCTCCTCATACTTCCTGTGGTGGTATATACATGCCACGAACTTCTAGCACTATAAAAACTTGTTGTTGGTAGCTCCCGCCCATGTTTTCAAAATTTAAAATCTAAATCTATCTATCAGTATATCGATTAATCAATCTATGGGTAAAGCTAAATATCAGACCCTTGGCAGTCTGTTATGAGGGATCCTGGTGTGAGTATTGAGTGGTATGCGTTGGCTCCCCTCGAGTGCTCTCATGAGCTGTGGCATGAAACCATTCTCAAAAGGTCACCAATTAAAAATCTCATTAAGTGTCTGAAATTAGAGACACTGAGGTCGACTTTCTGAGCTTTCCAGAGGGACTAGCAGGAGGAGATGAGAAGATAATGTCAGTATTTTCTCTGTAAGCTCTGAACCAGCAGAGACAGGTTAGGTCATGGATAGACATAGAGTTTCGTGTCTCTTTAAACATTAAGCTACATATACATTATGTATAGGTGCAGTGTGGTGCATGTATGCATAATACATCTATACTGCAGTAGTAACTATACTCTGAGGATGGAGAGGCTGATGCTGTTGCTTTGAAGAATAATTGTGAGAAGGTTTGGATGTGAAAAAGTTGCTAATGTCACCAGCCCCTCATAAATACTGTCAGACTGAGGACTTTCTCCTAGCTTTTATGGCTAAAACTGGATTGTGGAACCAATCCAAAGTTTTTAGGGCGGTGACATACAGAAGTTGTGTGCTTCTAAACACAGTCGTACCATATAACGTTGCTCAGGACATCCATTTTACATTTTTGAAAAGCTCTCTGTGTTACAAGTGATTTGATATATCTCCAGTTTGTTTCACTAGAGAGGAGAATGGTCATACATTTGTTAGCACCCGTTCTCACCACCATTTAAGCAACTACTTTCCATTTAGAAAGACAGACAATTGGTAGGCACTGAGATCTCCAATCGCCTGGTATTGTGAGACTACAGCTAACCTGGCTCTGTCTGAAGGTAAAAGAAAACAACCCATTACACAAGCTCACTAACAAACACGTTATATCCTTTTATATGGAAAAAGGTTGTGGTTTTTCCATTTTTGTAGAGAATAAATTAACCATCTAAACGTTATCTAGGCTAACTATGTTTCGGCTGTAACTCAATATTTGACAGACAGACATGACAGTGGTTTCAAACTCAAAGTACAAAAAATATTATCTCACTAGTGGTATCTGTAGTCATGCAGATACTGTTTCGCTTTTTATTCAGCCAGGTTTTGAGATATCAGTCTCTAAGATTTCTGCCTTCTTGCCAACACAATGGAGGTGAATGACATTTTTTTTGTGCTGCTCACAGGATTTGGGTTATTTAAGTGTGGTTGTATGAGTGTATTACCTGCAGTAGACAGAGGTCAGTGCGTTCCCCGTTCAGAGCAGCAGGCTCAGTTCAGTATCCATCTAGTTCTCAGTTCAGTATCCATCTAGTTCTTCTGTATAATCTGTTTCACAAAAGTATCCTCTTGCCTTCAAAGTTAATGGCATTTTGCCATAATCACTAATTTTTATTTTCTTGTATTTGTGTTCTCTTCCATAAACTCCTGTAACTCCAGTCCAAACAGCTGGTTTTGCAGCGTAACATGCCGTGCACGGTTCGTTTGGGCTTGGCAAAGTAAAGCAGAGAAAATATTCTTAATATAGTGTACACTTAAACTGATATTGATTTTTTTAAGGTGGAAGTTTTCTATGTCTAGTTTTCTGTTTCTGAATACGTCACTCTGCTGACCCTGTATTCAGCAGTGTATTGCTCTACTTCACTGCCAGGACTTCTGTCTGCATCTCCAAACTGGGGCCACAATGACATTTCTCTTTTATAGGTAATACACTGACTATGAATAAGTAACATGTGCACATTTAGGACATTGTGTAATGTGACATACACCACTATTGTTTTGGGGAATATTTAAGCAAAATAAAATGGAAATCTGCATCTGAATGGCTGGATATCACTAGCTACTGTAGATAATTGTTGTAATTAGGGTGAACAAACTCCTGCATCATCTAAGCTGATCATTGATCAACAATAGGAGACGTGTTGCAAAGCTCCCAGGTCTGAATATGATTGTTTGTTTAGCGGGTTGTTACTGAGAAATAACAGCAGTGCTCAGTCAGCCTTCCCTGATTGAGTTGCTGAAGGTTACAGAAATTATAGCAGTGTGCTACGCTCCATTTTTATCTTGGCTTCCATCTTGTGACATTTACAAAATGTATTTTCACTTTGCTCTTACCTTACACAAATATCAGAAGAGAAAAAAAAATCTCTGCACCTGCAAGCATGAATACTGCAAGTAGGTGCTCAGCAGTACATGATGTAGGTACTGGATTCCTACTCCCATGGGCCTTCACCTGACATTTACCATTTTCTGCCTGGAGACTCCACTGTGCTTTGTACAGGATGAAACCTATTGTCCGGTGTGTTCTTCTCCTACAGCCAGAAGAATGCATCTGTAATAACTATTGATTTCCTTATACGCCTTACAAAGACAGAGCGAATGTCACTATGCCTCCTCATTTTCCTTGTTCCCTGTGGTTTATCTTTGTACACACACACACACACACACACACACACACACACACACACGTTTTTTTTGTGTGTATGTGTATGGATTTGTGTGCATGTCTCTGTATGTGGGCTTGACCACACATAGGTCCATGCATATTTGCACAGTATTCAAATCTGTTTTACTTGGGGGAAAGCAGTCTCTGCTGCGAAAGACTTTTCAGTGACAGTTTAGGACCAAACAGATTGTTCATATACTTGTGGCGATTCTGTTAATGCCTCCTTTGGCTGCAAAGCAACTAGTCGTGAGACAAACTGTAACAAGACTGTTGAGCTGAAGGTCAATTTACCTACAGAGTAGTAGCAATAAAATTATAGCGTTATAGTTTTTTTATGTATTTATTTGATGTATTTTGGGATATGTAACCCACATTGAAGTGCACAGAGACAAGTACTGGTACTTTGCTATGTTCTCATTTTAATAGGTTTCAGGTAGATGTGCTCAAGTGTCATCATTGAGGGTGACAGCGTTAAGGACTCATATCCTCTGAGGACTTGAGTCAAATATCTTCCTTTTCTTACAGTGTCCTTTCAAGGTGACTCTCATTGTCTCTTTTTGTGTCTTTGGTGAAACACTGTCTGGGAGTCAGTAAGGCAGCACTGAAAAACCACCACAAGTTGGTTAGTGTGTTAGTGTGTGCAGCAGTCCACAGTGTAGCGATCAGCATGGTTGATTCTGCTTGGTGTCTTTAAAACCAACACAGTGAATGTTTCACCCCACTGCATACTGCCCTGAAGGAAACATGTTCCCCTTGAAAATTTGGGTGACCTAGTTGCTCTAGTTAGCACAGCGCGTATTAACACAGAGGTGCATGTTGATGTATCTCCTAAAGCGTTATGAGTTCCTCTGCTGGATTTAAAAAGGACATGTAATGATGTCGCTTGTGTTTTGTCAGATGAAAGCAATAATACTCGTAGTCTCACACATCATGTTGTCTGGGTTTTACATGAACACAGTACCATTGCGTTGGGGCTATTAAGCAAATGAGTCTTTTATCTATAACAGATTTTGTGAGAACGTTTTAGTTCTTTTATGCATGTGAGCGTGTGTTCATTTTGTTGATCTGAGCTAGTTTACAATCTGTATTTATCCACTTTCTGGTAACCTAGGTCAGTAATTATACTTTTTTTATGTAATTTCATTCTATATCATTGTAATATCAGGACAATTTTAATAAAATCAACATTAAAGACCATAAATTAGTTGAGGTATGCAGATTACCAAGGAAGAGTAGCCAAATACACCATAGGTCAGTCCTGCATCCAAAATATTACTTTGGTAAAAGTACAGAAGTTTTACTTAAATATCTAAAGTAAACAATATTTCCTTCTAAAATGTAAAGTAGAAACAAAATTCTCAAGCAAATCAAAACTATATATGTTTAGTATTTGGTTAAATGGTACTTTACATTGGAAACAGTGGCTCTGTTCTTCGCTTTCATGCTTTTAAAGACCGTTAAACACCCTGCCGCCCCCCACCACATAAGGATGACCCCAATGTTATTGTTTTGTTTATTATTCCCACTCACATACAGATATGCACAACACACTTATTTTCACCAACTAACCTTGATGCTAATAAGCTCACAAACCAGCCAGGCTAGTTAGCAGGCTTGGCAGGTAGCATCTGCAATCTTTGTAAAGATAAACAATAGCTGAGGTTAATTATTGTGTCTGTGTTTATTTACAGCAGCAGCTAGTTAGTTGGTGAAATTAGTCATTATTGTTGTTCAAGCTAACCGGGGCTAACTGGCTAAATTTGGTAGCAATTGTGCGAGCTTGGTCTAATGAGCTAAAAGCTGTCACCACTTTCATGAAAAGTTACATTATAAAATAAAAAAGGAGAAACATGAAAATAATCCTTTTGAAATAAAATGTGAGGAAAAGTATTATTGGGGAAAATGTAAAAAAGCCATGTGATTATTTTATTTCATATTCACTTACTTAATATTGTGCATTTTTGTGGCTCCATACCTCCAGCCACTGATTGTTAAATACTGTCTTATTGTTAAAGAATATTGGAGGACAAAAAACATTTAAATGACACCCTGTTGCTGAATGTGGTGACATTTCTGAGCAGGTGCTTGTAAAACACTGAGCCTTTATAACTAATATGTGAGAACAAAATG